TAATAATAATATTAATGATACTACTAATTATAATATATAGCATTTGTATAGTGCATAACCCCGCTTTATAGCAAGCTCTATGCGCTTTGCACTATATGCTATATATCAGGTACTAATAAAAAGGATCATAATTTCTGTTTCATACACATTTCTCAGTCCTGTTTTCTTCCTCTGAAACCCCAAAAGACAGATAACAATAATACAATGAAACATGCACATTCATGTTTCTGATTAGTGTATGATAGTACTATATATGACGCATCCTTACCTTTAGTCTATTTTAAAAATCGAACTTATGTGTCCGCTATGTCTGTAAAAAAGTTAGCTTCAAGTCAGTTCAGTGACTGTTATTTCATCAGCGATACAAGAACAATAACTACAACAGTGACCAAAACAACAATAGCGACATAATCATCTGTAGTGGGAAAAGAAATAGCAAGAGCTACAACTGCAGCAATTACATTAACACCACTTCCATAGTCATGTATGGCGTTTTGACCAAGAGCATCCATGTTCAGAAGCCTTGAACCAGAGCGTTGTCAGTCTGCTGGCTTAATGTGGCGACTGTGGGCATTTTGATGTGTTTGCCTTTGTGTGTGCATTTGGCATCCAATGATACTAGAAGCCCACTAATATTCACGTTTTAGTTGTGGAACCCTGTTAGAACTGTTCTCAATGTATTCACAGACTAACATCACACAATGAGGTTTTTCTTGTGTTTAAAGTTATAATTCATGCCGCCGCCAAGTATGCTAACAGGAAAAATATAAAATATACAGTAGAAATATGTTATTCAAATCTAACTTCCGCCTTGTACTGGTCAAAGGTCAGACAAGTTGCAAGCGCCTTACACTGCCTTGAGATCTTAATATTTGAAAGCTTATACCGATTGCCCCCCCCCCACCCCCTTTTTTAAACTCTTTCACCCTCCCCAATCCCACTTCATTTTCACCCACAAACCTCAACAACTTCAGCGGGGTTCCTTCTTCCTTGTCTCATTATGTAACACAATTTAGAAAAGAGCGCGTCCGATTTTTTAAACACTTTACCTAAGGCAGGCCGTATAAACCTTCATACTCTATGACGGCAAACAGTGTTTCAGCTACGAGAACTTGATATAACGGACAGATTAGTGGCGGTGGGCAGGCACGGGGGCGGGGCGGGGAAACACAAAGAAATCAAACAATAGAAAAGGGCGTGGCTCGATACCTCGGCACACAAGCAGGGACTGTGCGGAAGTAATAAACTCAGAATTAGACACACACTCCTAGAAGAGAAGAGGTTATTGTTTCGTCATAACTTCCACAGACGTCTTCGATACGGTTTAATATTGCTATTCGCGCCTCTTCTAGTTACGATTGCTGAACCATTGGTCCAAAACAAAGACGCCGTCTCCCTCCATTTTCCCAGTTCACGCAAAAAGTCTCATTAAACGAAATATATTTTTTTTAATGAAGGAG